GGAATTGGAAGTTCTGGAGGAGGTGGTGGAGGGCGTGGGTGGTGTCACGGACGTAGGTAGGGAGTTTCTGGACCAAGGGGGAGAAAATGGAGTCGAGATAAGTTCGGTGGGGCAGGAGCAGACGGAGACAATGGGTCGACCAGGGCAGTCAGGTTTGTGGACTTTGGGAAGGATATTGCAAGACTCCTCCTCATATCTCCTTCTATAAAATGCTTATTTGCCTTCCATATCCTCACCAATGATTAATCGTACATTAAAAAAAAAGAGGAAGAACGAGGCTGCGGGTACAATTTTGGCCAGTAACTCGAGACAAGACTTAACGCTTGGCTCACCATGTTTTACTGAGCTGTGGACACAGAAAAGACATGGGTCTTGTGTCTCGATCAACAGTCACAGCACATCCCCAAAGCAAATGGCAGTGTGTTAATGAAAACATAGGGAGTCCAGCCAGAGGGATACCTGGGATGGCAGGATAACACTAGGCATCTAGAAGAACAATAAAAGGTGAGGGAGGAGCACGTCATAGACATTCATAAAGTTCGAAACAGGATAAATGCAGGATGGGTATTCCTGATGACCAGGGAGAACGGAACTAGGGAGGGGGTCTAAGGATACGGGATAGGACTGAGATGGGGAGAAAGGTCTTCACCCAGAGTGTGGTAAGCATGTAGAATCCTCTCCCACATAACGTGGTTGAGGCCAAAACATTGAATGCTTTAAAGGAGGTGGTAGACCTAGCTCTTGGGGCTAAAGGGAGAAACCTGGAACAAGAGATGGGAGTTGGATCGTATTGATTGGTGGGTCAGACCTAAAAAGGGCTGAGTGGCCTCCTCCTGCTCCTATTTTCTAGGTTTCTGCGAAAACGCTGGATCATCATATGAAGGCATAGTATTAGATAAGCAAACACTTCTGTTCTAATCTGTGGGAGATGGCCACGCCTAATTTTCCAAGCCAGAGACAAGCTCTAGGTGTTGTTTTTTTTTTTTGCGATAGTGTCTGTTGAGAGGCTATGTTGCTTAATCAATAAAGAGAAGTCCCTAAATTAGCTGCGCTCTTCTCAAGCCCAGCTTCATCGGTAACATCGTAGTACAACACAATTATCCAGCTTCTTCAAACAGAGGAAAACAGCCCACAGTTACTTAAAAAAAAGAGAGGAAGAACTGGGTAAGATGAATAAACCAAACAGAAATTGCTGCATAAACTTAGCAGGATCCGTGGAGAGAAGTCAGAGTTAACGTTCCTGGGACCAGCCACCCTTCCAGAGAATGCTGGACACAAAACGTCAACTCGGATTCTCTGAAACTTGGCAGACCCGCCAAGTTTCTCCTGCAATTTCCCTTTGATTTCCAACATCCGTGGCTCTCTCAGCTTGGTGTTTAGCTTTTAAAAGGGTTTGGGGAACCGGGCAGCGCAAGGGTGCAACCTTCTTAAAAAGGGATAGGCTGGAAGCGTTGCAGAGAGGGAATCTAGCTGGATGGCAATTGACAACTGTTGAACATTGGATGGCGAAGAGACATGGTGGGGGGGGTGGTGGTGGAAGGGAGGTCGTTTTTTTGGAGGGCTGGGAGTGACAAGGGAAGACAGACTCCTGGCAAAGTTATCCTAAAAGCGTAAGCAGGGGGTAGCCCAGTGGGGCTTTGAAAGACTGCGAGTTCAGAAAAGTTATTTCCAATTAGAAAAAGCACCAAAAATCCCTCAAACTGCCAGTCACGACTGGCATCAGCAAGTTTCCCACACAGCTCACAGCTTGAGAGGCACTCGAGGGTAGACAACAGGAACTGTTACCAGAGAATAGTTTCGGCAGTAAACAGGGAGGGTGTCTGTTGCAGGGAACTGGGGAGGTGGTGGTGGGGGGGGACAACCTTTCTGGACAGGCAAGACAAGATGCGGGAACAGCCGAGATGCAAGAATTCCATAGACTCCATTTACAGTTACCGCTGCCAATATAATCAAAGACCCCTCCTAGCCTGGTTATACTCTCTTCCATCAGGCAAAAAAAAAGTTTGAAAACACATTGCAACAGATTCAAGAACAGCTTCTTCCCTGCTGTTATCAAGCTTTTGAATGGACTTCTCATATACTAGATTTGATCTTTCTCTGTCGCTGCAACACTAATAATCTGCATTCTGTTCTATTACCCTGATGCACTAAAGGTATGATTTGCCTGGTTAGCATGCAAAATAATACTTTACACTTTATTTTGGTCCATGCAACAATGATAAATCAAATTGGACATACTTCCGCAGCAGGTGGGACTAGAACTCAGACCTTCTGGCTCAGGGATAGGGACACTACCACTGGACCACACCAAAAGAAAAGACAACATACACAGATCCAAGCACATGGACTTGGTGTTAACAGGTTTCTGAGCAGTGTTTCTTCTGTTTATAACAACATCCACAGTTATGCCTCACGAAAGCAAGGATTTAGACATGAGTGCAAAACCAGAGTGGTCTCAACAGACTAGATGTTGGGGTAGGTGCTACCCCTCACAGGAAGATTGAGAGCCAGGGGTTGTTGTTTAAAGATCAAGGGTCAGCAATTTAAAAACCAGAAGGGGCCAATTTCTCTCTCTCTCTGGGAGAGTTGGTGTCAACGACAAGGCACAGGTCTGGAGTGTGAGGGAATACTTCCCACTGGCCTGGATGGGGGCAGCTCCAACATAGAAACTCAAACCCATTCAGGACAAAGCAGCCCTCACTTGACTGGAGCCACGTCCACTCCCTCCACCACCAATGCTCAGTCGCAGCAGTGTGTACCGTCTACAAGGTGCACTTCAACAACTCACCAAATGATCCTCAGACAGCACCTTCCAAACCCACAACCACTGTCATCTAGAATAAGGACAATGGCAGTAGATATATGGGACCATCACCACCTTCAAGTTGCCCTTCAAGCCACTCACCATCTTGACTTGGAAATATATCAGCCATTTCTTCAGTGTCGCTGGGTCAAAATCCTGGATTCCCTCCCAAAATGGCATTGTGGGTCAACCCACAGCACATGGACTGCAGCGGTTCAAGAAGGCAGCTCATCCTTACCTTCTCAAGGGGGGCAACTAGAGTCAGGCAACAAATATTGGCCAGCCAGCAAAACGCACATCCCATAAGGTTTATTTTAAAAATAAAATCTCTCTGAAATAGCAATGGAAGCAGAATCTTTCAATTATTTTATTTTTTTTAAAAAATGCAGAGATAGCTAGAATCTTGTTAAGCAAGGCAGCAAATGTTATTGGGGTAGGGAGAAGGAGTTTGAGGTTATAATCTGATCAGCTGTGATCTCAAATGGCAGGAGCAGGCTCGAGGGGGTAAACAGCCTTTTCGTGCTCCTTATTTGTACAGGAGGTATATTTCATGGAGCAGAAACGACAAGTTATTTCATAGGAGTGTTCTCAACTGAGAACCATGGTGTAAGGGGTCTTAGGAGCTTGTATGACCATAAGATATAGGAGCAGAAACAGGCCATTCAGCCCATCACATCTGCTCCACCATTCGATCATGGCTGACAGGTTTCTCTAACCTCCTTCTCCCAGCAACCCTTGATCCCCTTACCAATCAAGGAACTCTATCTCAAAGGCACTCACTGATTTGGCCTCCACAACCCTCTGCAGCAAAGCGTTCTGCAGATTCACCACTCCAGTTGAAGAAATTCCTACCTCATCTCAGCTCTAAAGGATCGTCCCTTCATTCCGAGGCCCAAAGAAGCCGCCTTTATGGGGCGTTGTGCAGGAAAAGTGGGGGAGGGTGGGGGCCATGGGAGAGAGGTTGGGTAGGCAACTAAAGGAATTAAGGGTTATGGTGAGTGGATGGGTAAGTGCAAGTGTATCAGAGTCTGTGAAGAGATCAGCCATGATCTTATTGAATGGCAGAGAAAGCTTGACGGGCCATAGAACCTATTCTGACCTCTTACGTTCTCAAGAGAGGATTCAGGAGGGAATTCCCAGAACTTGGGGTTTTCCAGAAGGCAAGGCCATCAATGATGGAAGTCCTTGGGCCCAAAATTGGGGGAACACAAAGACCAAAACAACAACTGCTGTGACAAAAGGGTTGCCCTGAGAAAGAACAAGCACATCTCTTTTTCCTCTTTCAGACCCTCAGTTGGGTACCTCCAGCTCGTCTGGGCTTTAGGAGAGAGACAGAGACAGAGTCAGGCCAGACATTAGAAACCTCATTGACACCTCACACTTGAAGTGATGGAGGAAAAATGCTCATGGATGGATGCAGAGAAGACTCCCAAGAACGTTTCCTGGGTGAGAACGATATGGGAGAAGCCGTTTGAGGTGGGGGGGGGGGTGTGCCCTGTTTGGGAGGAGAAAGGTTCGAGAAGGAGATGCGATAGAGGCTTTCAACACAACACAGTCAGGCACCCAGCTAGAGCAGGAGACAATCCTCCCACTTAGTGAAAAAGGGGATGGGAACTTTTTTTTTTGCAAAAGAAACACACTGGAGGAAAAGGCCGGGAGGAGGAAAGATTGTTTGTCAGCTTTCTAAAACAAAAACAAGCAGTCTGTGTGGGATCTGGAAGGAGCTGCCCGAGAGTACATGGTGGAGGCAGATATGCTTGTGGTTTTCACAGAGACAGACACAGAGAGGGAGAGAGAGAGAGACACACACGCAGTGAAAAGGGGAACCAGAGAATTATCTGGAGGAAAGGAAACTCATAGGGCTGCAGGAAGAGGAGAGAGATGGGGGAAGTGGGGTGAATTGGGTCAATCTTACAAAAGGCTGGCACCAACACAATGGCCCCAAAACACCCCCACTCCTGTGCTGCAAATTTAGTTGGATCCTTTGACTTGCCCCAAGTTGAATCAAGTGCATTACTTCAGCCTCTGGGTAGACAGGGGATTGAAGAGAACCAACTGCTTGCTGAGCTGGCATAAACTGAAAGCCCTGGAGACACAGGGGTCTTAAAAGGGAGCAGGTTAACCACTGAGCTTATGAGAATTCAGCGCTCAATGATTCTAAAGCACAGCAATAAAACAAAAAGTAAAAACAACTTACTTCCTGTATCGCGTTTGCATAGTCCCTTTGGTTTGTGCGAGGTTCCTGCTTGGAGTCTCTGCCATGCTCCTCACGCCAACCCCCACCGTCTTCCGCTGCACTGTTAAGCCTTCCAGCTCCGAGGACGAAACCCCCAACCTCACCCCTCCTCGCTGCACCCCTCCCCGAAAACGAAAAAGCACTCCCTGCTTTCTGCTCAGTGCAACAAGCAGAGGTGAACGCATCTGCCTGTTAACAGGAAAAAGCGCAAGATCTCAATCAGAGATACAAGTGACATCCTCCCGGCCAATGCCGCGCCTGATGCGTTATCTCGGCCATGCACTCCCCGCAGTCAACAGTGACAATGTGCATTTGTATAGCGCTGTGAAAGGCCCCACAGAGGCAGCGATCAGTCAAAGAGGCAGAATGCAGGGGGTCCCCAACTGACGAACACTGACACTTACAAAATGCCCGCAAGTAACAGCCAGATCCCACACAAGGGTGCATTCACGTTAAAATTTTAAACGTGAATATTTACTTATGAAAGACTGTTTTTTGTACTGTGTCGCGACTTAGACTGGAGAATGGGACCCATTTGTAACCCAGGGACTGCAGATGCTGGATATCTGAAACAAACAAACACACCGAATGCTGGCGAAACCCAACAGAAACAGTTGCAAGTCTGGTGAGACCAGGTTCTCCCGTGCTGTCCATGTTTGACCCAGGCAAAGAGGTAGGTTTAATGGCCAGCATCTTGAAAAAGAAGGAATGGGCTTCTTAAAACCACTTGGACGGCAGTGAATTCAAGAGGGATAGGCAGGAAATGGAGCCTGGAAACTGGATATGTAATTCAGTGTCAATCTGTATTAGTTTTATCTGAAATCACAAGCTGTCGAAGCACTGCTCCTTTGTCAGGGAAAAGCCCGAAGGAGCATTGGTCCGAAAGCTTGTGATTTCCCTGCTGGACTATAACCTGGTGCCATGTGACTTCTGACTTTATCTGCCCCAGTATAACACCGGCGCCTCTGCATCAAGATTTGAATTAATTATCACACCTGCAACGGAGGGTGTAAAGATATCAGACTCCATCGTACCTCGGATCACCTAAAGCATGACACCCTACTAGTAGGATGCTTATCTGCTCCAATAGCTTAATGTTACCCCAGATACTAATATGCCGGAGGAATGTAGTGATCACACATAATACTTAGTTGCAATAAGTCTCTGTGGGATTCTTCAATACCCCAATATTCACTCCCAGTTTATGTTAACATGAACATTGTTGCATTGGACAAAAACACCCTCCTGATGGCAAATCACGACCAGCATTGCCCACTCCCTCAGATTTATTTTAAAGCTCAGACTATAAGCGGAGTTGCTGGAAGTTTATGATACAAAATATGGGAATGGATTGCTGCATGCTAACCAATGATCCCTGTCAGAATTGCCTCAGGGTGAAACCTCTGTAGTTGAATAGTCTGCAAATTCCATCATGGTCACTGACAAAGAATGGCCAGTTCAGCCAACAGCACATCACAATCTAATATCCAGAGGTGATAGCATCATAGAATCAGAATCCCTAGTGTGGAAATAGGCCCTTCAGCCCAACAAGTCCACACCGACCCTCAGAGCATCCCACCCAGACCCATCCCCCCCATAACCCACACATCCCTGAACACTACGGGCAATTTAGCACGGCCAATCCACCCTAACCTGCACATCTTTGGACTGTGGGCGGAACCCAGAGCAAACCCACGCAGACACGGGGAGAATGTGCAAACTCCGCACAGACAGTCACCCAGGTCCCTGGCGCTGTGAGGCTGCAGTGCTAACCACTGAGCCACCGTGCTGCCCCCATGGTAAACATTGCTGAATCAGCAATCAGGAAGCCATTCAGCCCTTCGAGCCCAGCCCTGCCATTCCAATACGATCACAGTTGATAATCCAACTCCGTGCACTGTTCTCGCTTTTTACCTTTTGATTACCCTTAGACCCAAGAGCTATACCCAACTCCAACACATTCAATGCTTTGGCTTCAACTGCTTTCTGTGACAGAGAATTCCTCAAGGTCTCTGGGTGATGAAATCTCTCTTGCTCTCAATTTACAAAGCAGAACTCAAACCCCGCCAGGTCTGTTGGTTGCCTCCCCAGAGGCATTGGGAGTCAGGAGAGTCACAGGCTGATACCAGGGGAAGAAGGGTGGGAAGGAGGTTTACAACATTGGGGGCAGAGAGGGGGGGTGTGGAGGTGAAGACAAAAAGGACGAGAACTTCCAAAAGAAGCAATGAACACATGATCCCAACAAGTCACAGATTAATTAGTTCAATTTGCAGGCAAGGGGAAGTGATGGTCTAGTGGCATTATCCCTCAATTATTGAGGCAGAAACAATGGCTAATGTTCTGGGGACCCAGGTTCAAATCCCATCATGGCAGGTAGTAGAATTTGAATTCAGTAAAAGAAATAATGTCTGGAAGAGTCTAACGATGACCACGAATCCATTGTCTGGCTCACTAATTCCTTCAGGAAAGGTCCATCCTCACTTGGTTTGGCCTATACATGACTCTAGACTCCACGTTATGAAGGAGGGTCACCGGACCAGCAATGTTCATTCTGCCTTCTCTCCATGGATGTTGCTGTGTTTTTCCAGCAATGTCTGTTTTTGTTTCCAGCATCCGCAGCTCTTTATATCCTACCTTTCCCGAACAATGTGGTTGACTCTCAGCTACCTTCTGGGGAACTAGGGATGGGCAAGGAATGCTGGCCTAGCCAGCAATACCCTCATCCATGAATGAATGAATTTAAAAAGAAGCTGTCTCCAAACCAAAAGGCATTAGCAGCTGGTCTTGGTGAAAATTATATAGAGTCAGAGGTTCACAGCACGAAAACAGGCCCTTTGGCCCAACTTGTCCATGCTGCCCAGTTTTCACAGTTTAAACTAGTCCTATTTCCCTGCGTTTAGTCCATATCCTTCCATACCTATCCCATCCAAATGTTTCTTAGATGACAATTGTACTCACTTCCACCACTACCTCTAGCAGCCCACTCCTGACACTCACAATCCTGTGTGAAAAATTGCCCCTCTGGGCCTTTGGTATCTCTTCCCCTCTCACTTTAAACCTTTGTCTTTTAGTTTTAGATTCCCCTCCCATAGGAAAAAGGTGTTGGCTATCTACATTATCTATGCCTCTCATGATTTTATAGACCCCTATAAAAGGTCACCCCTCATTGTCCTACGCTCCAGAGAAAGAGTCCCAGTATATCCAACCTCCCCTTATAACACAAACCTTCCAGTCCAGGTAACATCTTTTCTGCACTCTTTCTAGTTTAATATCCTTTCCTGTAGTAGGGCAATCAGAACTGCCCGCTGTACTCCAAATGTGACCTCAGCCACATCTTGTACAGCTGCAACAAGACGTCCCAATTCCTATACTCTATGCTCTGACTAATGAAAGCAAGCAAACCCAATGCTTTCCTCACCTTTCCGTGAAACTGAACAGATAAACTGTGATGATTCAATACTAAACACTACAATATGTTGACCATCTGGTCAGCTCCTGCGCTGTGGTCGGGATCTCTGCCTCAGTTCAGCATTAGCTACGGCTTCAGGGAACACATTTGGCTCCTGCCAAAATGTTCTGGCTCACAGAGAACGCAATGTTTTAAAGAACACACACAAACACACAGCTATTGAGCCACAGACAGACATCACCAGGTTACTAAGAGTCAATGCAACAAATAAGCTTTGTTATTCTATTATTCATTTAACACCCTCCCCCAGCCACACAAATAAAAAAATCAGTGCCTCTCTCTCGCGTCTCACCACCGACAATTAAACCGTTAGAGGGTCTAATTTAGCCTGCACACTATAGTGGTTGTGGGTTTGGTGTCCATAGGATGCACATTTATACAGTTTATAGATTTGTACAACATCGAAAGAGACCCGTTTGGGGTATATGAATGGGAAGGGCTCAGAGGGATGTGGCCAAATGCTGGCAAATGCCACTAGACTAATTTAAGATATCTGGTTGGTGTGGACAGGTTGGACTGAAGGGCCCATTTCCATGCTGTACATCTCTATGATGAGATGTCCTAAATTAATCTAGTCCCATTTGCCAGCACTAGGCCCCTGTAGTCGTGGCCGAGTGGTTAAGGCAATCGATTAGAAATTCATTTGGGTTTCCCCATGCTGGTTCAAATCCTGCTAACTATGTTTCCTCAACTTAGGCATGGCACAGTGGCTCAGTGGCTAGCACTGCTGCCTCACAATGCCAGGGATCCAGGTTCAATTCCCCCCTCGTGCAACTGTCTGTGTTGAGTTTGCACGTTCTCCCCGTGTCTGCGTGGGTTTCCTCCGGGTGCTCCGGTTTCTTCCCACAGTCCAAAGATGTGCAGGTTAGGGTGGATTGGCCGTGCTAAGTTGTTCCCATAGTGTTCAGGGATGTGTAGGTTAGGTGGGTTTATAGGTTAATGGGTCTGGGTGGTTTGCTCTGTAGGTCGGTGTGGAGCTGTAGGGCCGAAGGCCTGTTTCCACACTATAGGGCTTCTATGATTCTATTTGGCCCATATTCCTCTAGACCCTTCCTACCCACATACCCATCTCCAAACTTACTTTGTCTAAAATGGGGCTCGAGCCACACAGTGGTACAGCACAGCAAGATCCCAGCATGGGCCTTGCAGGCTCTGTAGCAGTACACAGTCATATGCTATGCCTCTTGTGCACACAACACAGTCTCCTGTCCCTCAAAGACTTTCCTTCAGTCCAGTCCCCGCATGGAAAGTCAACTGTTGACTCTACTACCAACACCCTTCAAGGAAATGAGCTCTGGAGAGCGAAGAAAATGAAGATGTTCCCATGCCAGCCCTCCTGTTTCTCACCATCAATCACCACAAATTGTGTTCTCTCTCCGAGTACCCCCACAGTGTTAAGGGTTTTTCCTTATTTACACCATCACAATCACGCTTCTTTTGTTAAAACCTACTCTCAATCACTCAAGGCAGGCTAGTTAGCCAGAGGCCCCTCACTCTCTACTGATAAGGGGTAATTGAGGGGAAATTGCAGTGTAGTGATAAAACCCTCAAGGGGTTCTTGTGACAAAGTGATAGTGCCCCTACCTTTGAACCAGGAGGGTGTACATTATAATTATAATGTGGGTTAGAGTTTTAACTAGTCACCTTACATATTGACAGTTGTTCATCCATGGCTGG